AACGGCAGGCAAGCTCCGCGCTAAGGATCCCATGAACATGACCTTATCTAATCCTTACAACAACCCCGGGAGGTACTGACTGTACTGGCACTGAGGAAAACCCTAAAGAGACTGAGTAACTGTTCACAATGACACAACAAAAAGTGGCAGAGCTGAGATTAAAACCTGGTTATGGCCATAACGCCCCATTATTTTAACATTTTTTGTTATATTGACTGGGGTAAAAAGATTCATTCGACAAACATTCACTGAGTACCTACTACGTGCTGGGCATTGTTCTAGATGTTGGGTTGGTCTGCTTGGATTAGAAAAACCTTCTTGGTAACTGAATGTCCAACTGAAGTACATTTGCCTAGACAAATGATGATCCACACCCAAAATAACGCTGTAACAGCAGATTTACTGACACAAAGACACGCTTTATAGCAAACGAAAAAGAGGGTTACAAAATACATTAAGAAGTATGATCTTTGTCAAAATTATACACTACACACATGTAACACCCTAGAAACAAAGTCTAGATGGAAATGTGATAAAATGTTAGCTGTGAGTTCTCTGAGTGGTGTCATTACAGGTGATTTTCATTTCTTCTTTTTTTTGTACATCTGGGTTTCCTAAAACATATGTTATTTGTGTAATAAAAAAATTACCTCAAAAAAGAAACAAATCGTGCTGGGAAGAGTGAGAGCTAGTGTTGGAGAGGCATGGATATCAGGGCACAAAAAAGGATGAGGAGCCAGCAGATGAAGGACCTTGAACCCCAGGCTGAGCATTAAGATTTAGATTGCACCACCAGTGACGCTAAAGTAAAAGAAAACCAAATCTGAGCCTTGAGGATCTCGAGGTGTCATTCACAAGACTATTTCATCGAATGCTAGACGGTTAGGAAGGATGGAGGTCAGAGTGTCCAGCTCAGGGTTCTGGATCTTATAGTCTGGATAAAATGGTCAGTACGGGTGTTCAGGTTGTACAACACAAAAGGGCATCTAAGGGAATACTTTCACATGGTAGACATCATCTTTATTTAGAAGTTTTTTCATATTTGTTGACTCCAAAGATGCTGCATGTGTGTTACAACAAGTTTTCCAGCAGATGGCCGAAATATTTCTTGTTCTAACAAAATCATCCCATTTCAACAACTTTTTGATGGAAACAAAGTGTCTTCCTTACAAAGTTGATGTATCTCATTCCCATGAGAATTACGAAAAAGGAAACAGTGTGATAATTGAAACACTTTATCAGTCTAGCAACATCTAACATAAACTGTGCATTCTAAATAGTGGCTGTTTTTCTATCCAGTATAAAACACTTTTTTTTAAACAAAAAAAATTTCCTATTGGATTAGTATGCTGGGTACATTAGATAGTACAGGTCATTTATCAGAATGTTATTGTCAATTCCCTACTGAAATTTAATAAGTACTTCATTATGACACAAATCACTATATGTGTTAATATTCATTTACCATCAATAATACATAAAGTAAATATTACACTGTCATATATTGCTTTTGTTCTTATGGAAGTTTTGTCAGTACAAAGATTAAGTACAGTTAAAATTTTGTGGCTTGTTACAAGTATTTTAAAAGTAAATATTCTAAGATAAAAGTCTATAATGTCACAAAAAGACTGTCAAATCTAGTGACCACTTCCAGAGAAAATGAGATATAGGAGCAAGAAGATGGCAACTATCATAGAGAATACAGTTTCTATGAAAGCAAAACATGATTATTTCTAAATTAATTAGTATATTTTGGAAAATGTGAATGTTTAGGACCTCAAAAACACTATTATTTTATGTTCAACAGTAAGCTTTCTACAATTTATACGGAGTGGCTTTATATTTGCTGTAATTATTATTATTGGGAAATACATATGCTGATGTGGAATTGTTTTCCTTGAGTAAGAGGAGCCTTTTTCTAATTTTCACAAAAGTGCCATATGTGCTAATGACAGCTTTGCACATGGTATGTGATAAGTGTGAGCTTTAGAGCAAATAATCTGTGATTGATACAAGTTCAAGCACTGCCATGTGTGAAGGACTTCCTTCTTCTACAAATCAGGACAGATTCAGTTGCCCCTCGGGGACCATCCCCCTCACTCACTCGCACTCTGATGAGCTTTCCCGGAATCACACACGGCTGCAGACCCCCTCATTCTGACGTGATGCTGACAATCATGAGAACCATGAGCATTTACAACACTTTACTCTCCCCCCCCCAACTTTTAGATTTTGCCAAAATCCAGGTTGCACTGACAGGACCACGTCACTTATGTGAATGTAAGTTATCATGTGTCAGACCAGAGAAAAGACTAATAACCTCAGACATCATCCAACACCCTCATCTTACAAACGAGGAAAACAAGGTTTGGAATTTTAGAAAGTCTCATGAACGATGTTCCTCTGCTCTCACTTTATAACAACTACCATGACAGTGATGCCCATTACCGATCGCCAAGCACTATGCTGGGTGTTTTCCTACCAGTTAGCTCACTGATAAGATTCAAGGGAATTAGGTATAAAAGCCCCAATTCACAGAGGGAAAAACTGAGGCTCGGAGAAGTGAAGTGGCAGAACTGGTTTACAAACCCAGATCTTTCTTTTACTCTAGAGCCTGCGCCTTTTCCATTATGTCTTGCTGCCTACAGTAACCAAACGAAGACAATCTTTTAAAATGTAAGCCAGCATCCTGGAACCACGGACAAATGTAAGCCAGCATCCTGGAACCCTGGACAAACGTAAGACAGCATCCTGGAACCACAGACAAATGTAAGCCAGCATCCTGG